GGGGGGGGATTAATGGGAGGTATTATTGGGGAATAATGGAAGGTATGGTCAAGGGGAGATCTAGGGGATTTTTTGGGAGTATCTTTACAGAGAAGCTCTCAGGGTTTTCTGAGGGGTGGACATGTTAATGAGGGGCATGTTCAAGGGGAGATCTCGGGAATTTTTTGAGATATTTACAAAAAAAAACAATTTGCAGTCAATGGGTTGATGAAGAACTTGGGTCACAATCCCGAATTACGTTTCTAATCAATCTTTCGATTGTATATTTGAAATGTAAAATATCGTCTAAGAACCCCAGGAATCTCCTCTTAGCCATTTCCTCTCAACATGCCCTAAAAACTCCTCTGAAATATCTTCCGTGAAAATCTCGGCGATCCCCCTAGAAAAATCCCCCCAGTTATCCCCTCAAACCTACTTTGAGAAATGTTCCCCAGATTTCTCCGGAATTTCGTTCCAACCATACTTTCGACATCTCCTCTTGACTACACCCCTATTGACACCTGGAAGTAACCTCAAAGAACCCCTCGGGATGTCCCCTTCATCATACACTCCTTGGCAAATCCTAGAAAGATCCAGAGGGCTATCCCCAAAAGTGATCTTCAAAATCACCCGAGATCTGCCCTTCACGATCCCCTTCATCAATCCACTCCAGAAAGACCCTCAGAGCTCCCCTGGAAAGTCAACTCCAAAAAACTTTCGAGATCTCCCCTCGAGTATACCTTTCATCAATACCCCCCCAAAAAACCTCGATATCTCCCCTTACCATACCCACCACTGACCTCCACTCCCCCTAGAAAGATCCTGAGAGATGCCCTGGGAAGTTATCCCCAAGAAACCCCCAAGATCTCTCCTTGACCATACCCTCCAATAACCCCCCGACCCCACCCCCTCTAAAGACTCGGAGAACTGCCCTGCCGAGTTATCCCCAGAGAACCTCCACGATCTCCCCTTGACCATACCCCCTCTCTCCTTCGCCCTTAAAAATACCCCGAGAGCTCCAGTATAAAGATACTCCCCAAAAACCTCCCGAGATCTCCCCTCGTCCATACCCTCCATTAATCCCCTTTTGAAAGAACCCGATAGCTCCCCTGGTAAGTTACCCTTAAGAAATTGCCGAGATCTCCCATTGACCCTCTTCAAAACACCCAATTCACGTTCAAACGCTTTTCCTCACTCTGTCTACAAAATAACCCTCCAATCAATGAATTATGGCAAATTCCAACATCAATGTTTCAATTTCTTCCCAACGCTACTTGTCGCTCATTTCAATCACCTATTTGGAGCCAACTTCTGATAATAGCCGTTTTCGTAAATGAAGTCTCCGGCCTTATTCATAATTCATCCCTTAATATACTAAAAGTCGTCCGATAGCTCTTAAGGCCGAGGGATAACTTAAATGTCATCCCTGAATATCTTTAACTATCGATCCGAGGGGGTTGGTGATTTTTTGGGCGGTTTGAGCAATCCCATGAAATATTTTGCTTGGTGTTTTTGAGTATTTCAAGTGTATCTATTCTCTTTTCCTATAGAAAAAAAAAAAAATTTATCCTTTCTCGTTCTCAAGTTTCGATCCGAGCGGTTGATGATTTTTCAGGGGTTTTGGGGAGTCTCCTGACACATTCATAAATGGCAATTGTTTGGTGTTTTCAAATATTTTGAATGCATCTTTTTTTCCCATAGCAAACGGGTAAAATAATTTCTGTTTCGTCGGGAAACGAATACTCAATCAATTGTCTTCAAATTATTCATGAAATGTTCCAAATTGATAATTTTCAATAAATACCATTAATCAACCGTTTTAAAGCTACCAAATGTCAACACAAAGTTACATTTGAGTAGTTACCGTCTCCAATACAAGAGAAAAACTGTAGTGTATTCTTCTGTTCATGGAAACTACAGCTAAAAACAGAAAACTTGAAAATGCTCCTGCAATGAGACTTTTATGCTCGGGTCCTACTACTTGTGTAGACACATGTACAGCCATACGCAAAGGGAAATGGACGCTTCGTGTCGAACCGTCAGTGTGAACGCATCAAAACATGCAATTTATCCAAAATTTGAACTAATTGCGCGGTCTCGGTAAATACTCGAGTGAATCAACCTCAATTCAACTCAAATTTATATCAAACACTTATTCCGCATCAGTGAATCGAAACTATTATTGTTACTGAATGAATTTATCGAATTTATCGAATTTATGAAATCCAAGCATAAAAATGGAGTACTTAATCAAAAATCAGGCTCCGTAGTTGAGTTCCCCGGAATGTTTTCTTTATTTCTGATACAAATATTCATTTTTTCGAATCGTTTTTCATGTAGTTTCATCCAAACACAGATATCGAAGAGTCGTGTTATGGACCGTCAAAAGCATATCCCCCTCCCTCTGGTTTGCCGTCGGGGGTAAAAATGATTAATATCCTCGTTCTTTTCATCAAATAATGTCTCAAATAATGTTTAAACCAACTAAAGAAATAATAATAAAATCACACAAAATTCAAATAATAAATCCATTTGAAAATTACATCCATCTTAAATTCAATCAAGCTATTCATCACAAAACCAAAAACAAGTCTTACGATTCCTTATAAATTAGGAATAAATAAACAATCATTTCATATTTGTGGTAAATTTTCCTGAGTGAGCTCCATTGTTGGGTCGGAAGTATCGTCTGTTCGATACAATTTGTTAACCACTTTAACAACCCTCACTACCAATCGAAGGGGGTTGGTCATTTTTCAAGGGGTTGGGGTATTCTGACAGATTGTGACACATTCTCCGATAAAAATTATTCGTTGTTTTTGGATATTTTAAATGCAATTTTTTTATTGTTCATAAAAGATGTGAATAATCGAAGTTTCCACCTCTCAGACACCCTATGCCATCTAATCTGGGCCGAAGTTGATAGATATCTGGGAGATTGAGGCAGGGTATTTTGGAATTTGAAAATAAAAATTTCAAAACCATTCTCAATTTTCATATCAATGCACAGAGCTTCACGAAACCTCACTACGGCGCTGAGTTTTCAGCTGCCAGTTTGGATGCTAGATTCAGCGTCATGCAAAACATAATTCTTCTTTTTTCTTAACTTTTCCCTTTTCCATCCCCTTCACTAATGCGTCCAGAAGAAAAAACCCAGTATTCTATTTTGTCCACTTAATGGATTTATAGTGAGGACACCCCTAACACTCTAACATGTGATTCGCCATCGGGCATCCGTCGATCCCGCGTTCCTGATTCCTTCAACTTCACCTCTGATTAAGTCCAAAAGATGCTTCCCAATGAATAGTTCCACAGGACTTTTCGAACCAGACTTTCACCCCCAGCTTCAACGTGAAGTTTAATTGTTGGATTCTGAGATACCCTCTACATTGATCCATGTTATGAACTAATGAAATCATTCTGTAGTTCAGTTCAGTTATATATAACACCATTAGGTTATTCGTTCAACACTAGGAACCCATATCGCAGTTTTAATGACGTAAAATTTACATTTTTTCCCACTTTATCAACTTAGTGATCCACCACTTAATTCAATAACCAGTAATTTCATCACTGGGACTGTAAAAGCCCATTATTGTCATAATGGATTTTTATTGCGGTTCCTAAGTGGGCTACTAACAGGCTGCTTAATTTCCATCCAGATTATTCAATTTATTTCATAATGAACATACCCGCAGTGTCTAACTGAGGGATTAAATTTCTGAGTAACCGTTTCATCCATCAAATACAAATTTTCAATGAATGATATTTGTGAGAGATTATTAGCTGGAATTTTCATCTTAGAGGTTCCATAATGCAGTCACTGACGGTAAATCTACCTAAAATCAATCGATGAACCTGTTCATCATTCATTGATAGTATCGTTGTGATATTTCATATGTAACTTTAGATATCCTTTTAGAGTTCTTGAAGGCCACGCTGATGCTGTAACCACTTTGGCTTTTACCCCTGATTCACTGTATATTGTGACAGCCTGCAGTGAAGGCAGTTGGAGGGTCTTTGATATTGAGAGAAATTCTGCGAGCAATTTTCTAGTATGTGAAGCTGCTCATGATCTTGGAGTGCAAGGATGTGATTTTAGCTCTGCAGCCGCTCCCTTCACTGTTGCGGGTAACGAAATATTTAATAATCGTCAAAATACAATTTTAATCATTGTATTACTCAGAATTCAATTTCAAGGCATGCGGCAGTCTTCTACGGACGATCACTCAAAATTTTACGTCCTTGCAACCTGTGGAAATGATTCCCTTGTTAAATTGTGGCAAATCACTGTTCTACTTAATCAAACTGATGAACCTGATAACGAGCCTGTTGAAGAAGATTCAGAACTGGGAAGATTGACTGCGAATGGCGTTTCCTATATCGAGAAAAAAGTTCTAGCTGGTCATGGCGGTAATGTAATGGACGTCAGATTCGCACCGGTCCATGGCGAAATCCTTGGCAGTGTTGCAACTGATAGGACAGCTAGACTCTGGAGTGTTGTGAGTCATATAAACTTGAAAGAGTTTGAATTTGTTATTTACTTTTCTGGAGTCGATACCTGAGTGGGAAAACGATATGAATCAATTCTATTTCAAGTTGAGTTTTTAATACGTATATTTCCAAATCTATGGGTCATAGGAAAATTCGTACGTAAATGAACTTTACAGAGTGAAACGAGAGCAATGAAGAAGATCTTTATGAAAGTTTTAATTTTATTGCTTTCAAATTGCGAGATAACTATTAAAATATACCAGTGTAATGAACGCATGCAGTGGATCAGATGGGAACGTTACCCTGTGCATTTGCGACATCTTTAGGATTTCCCTCTAATCGTTAGGAAGTTGTAGAATTTTTCGGAATTTTCCGAATGCATCTCGCAATATCCAAAAGTGTCAAATTGTTTAAATTGATCTAGAACCTTGGAAAATTTTCTAAAATTTTTGAAACTGTTGAATATACTCAATGGTTTTTTTTAGCATAGGTTTTAGAAAACGCAGAAAATTAAGAAAAAAATGTTTCCATAGTGATAGAGAAGAACGATTTGTCTAATATAAGTGTTGTAGAAAATTGTCATGAAGCCACGGACTCTCTCAGATGTTGTGTAAAGTGCGAAAACTCAGGGTGCATTGCACACCACAAGTCTCGCATCCTTGCCATGAATCCCTCCTGCGCCGGCTCACTGACCTGCCAATATTGCATCAGGTCCTCCGTGAGTTCCTCCGCCCATTTAATCCTTCTAACGGGTTGTTACCGTCGGATCCAGATCATTCCCCTCTCAACCGATCCGCAGTCCCCATCCGAGAGGGACCGGTTGAGGGGGCCCTGCCGCGGTTCGATGATGGAACCCAGTACAGGTACCGCCGGGTGGTTAGTTCGATACCACTGTTATGTACAGAATTTCGATAATGATGTTGTTAAAATTTGTTTCGACAGGAGAGTCTAAATTCTACGTTAGTCCACTGGAAAGTCGACGCTGACCGCCCAAAATTCCACTATGTAGAAGGTCACTCATATTAGTCATAAGACTTAGTTGCTCCGTTGCCAGGCCATATAGCTAAATCAGCGAGAAACCCCTCGTTTGAGAAAGTTGGGCGCAAAGAAATAATGATGCAGTAGTCAGTCGCCGATGAACTAAGAGGGATTCAAAACAAATTTCGACTCCTGCGTTATTCCTTCGCCACCCCAACTCCGATTTCGCAACCCATAGTCTTGGGAACCTACTGTTCGGTAAACCGAGGTGTGGCTGATTAAAGAGCTTTTCGCATACATTACAAAGTTTCGTGTGTTCAAGAAAACTACATCCACCTCCGTAGTCGTGAAGTGTGTTGGAGCGTTCTATACTCGGGGGTCACTTGCTGGACTCATTTGTTCTCAAAGTAGACTGCTACGAAATAGTGAATTACAATAAACTCTTGACTGTTTAAATGTAAATGGGCACAATGAAAAACTAAAGTGCTACACTTGTTAATTGCTGTCGACTGGATATAACTCATTGACTAACTGAAAAATTGGAATATCTGTTCGTTACTTTAACCGAACGATCAACCAGAATAATAAAAGTTCTCAGTTCGTTCTGTCCACCTAATCCTAGAGCCTTTCGTAAAATCGTTATAGAGTGTACAATAAAATTGTTTGCAATAAATGATAGAGGGGAGGCATCATCACAACGTATCCTGGCCAAGGAAAATTCTCCTTTAAATTAAAATTAAACCTGCTCATATTAATAAATTCGGAAATAAGTGACCTTACAAAAATCCTCATTTCGCTACAGAAGGCCTAATACGATATAACATTTCAAAATTATAAACTGTTCTCGAAAATTTCGCTAAATAAACCTAAATATTCAAATTCAATAAATATTAATAATTCACAGACCTCTCGTCTATTTTGAAGTAAGCAATAATTCTTGTGACCAACGGTGATACGACGGGTGGAGACGTCAGTAGGAGATGTTTTAACTTCAAAGGTAGGGGGATTCATCCATCCGGGGATTGCTTTATCATGCAGAAAAATTATCAGTCATGGTAGAAAAATCCTAAATTTTAGATTTGTGAAAATAGTCCTCCGTCTGTTCCATAAAATCACCATGGTTGTTGCGAACGTGCCGGGCGATGGATTCGTCACCCTCCCTAAGCCTGATTATTATTATTATTGTTATTATTATTTTTTACTCGTAAATGAGATCGCTGAACGATCCTCGAGGGTTCCGACTTCACCTCGAAGGCCGCCCAGCAACCTAAGTGATGCAAGCACTTCCTAATCGCTCTGAAATAGTGCTCCCTCTAACCAAAGGGTGAGCTCTATTCCAGTCCAGAATTATGCTACCTAAGTAGACGGAGGGACCCGAGGATGACTGCCTTCTGCATCTGGCCAGCCAAACTGAAGTCTTGACGCCTACAGGCCGGGATGGTTTTGAGCGCAGATGTGAACGACTCTCGCAAGCTGATGAACGTCCACAGGAGCCTGCATCCGCGCTCTTCAAATGCGCGGGCTCTCTGGTTATCATTATTATTATTTGTCGGAATTTGGCGCCTACTCCAGTTCTCTATCCTACCATTACTTTACTGCTTTGTATAGATGGGGCGCATGCGCCGATACGCGCTGTGGATACGTGCTGTGGTGCGAGACACTGTACTTATATTCTAGAATACACCTTCATTATTACAGTTAATCTATGTTTAATTATTTTGATATCCTGAAGATCCTCAAGTATCAACAGGTTATGGGACTCTTCACGCATTAACTGCGATTTGGAGATTAAAAGTGAAAGTGAACAAATAAAAAAAAAACTGAGTCATTGGCGCGTGGCGTTGGGCGGACTTCGAGACACTGTGTGAGTGTTGAGAAAAAAAAGGAAGGATCGACAGGGATGAATGAAGGGACACACGGGAGTAACATCCCAAACAAAATGAGTAAGTACAAAGTGAAAAATTAATAAAAGTGAATGAAGTGTCGGGGAAAGGACATAATAAAGATCAGCAGGACTGTGAGGTTGGAAAAGTGGCGTCACAACCTACATGGCCCACGCCGACGTCATGAAATAAAAAGGGACCTGAAAAATGAATCAAAAAAAAAATTCCTAAATAAAAGATTAAAAATTATAATAAATGAAAATATATCATTGAAGGTGCGACTAGAGTAATCAAAAAAATAGTAATTAATTTTGTATTAATCTGGGGAGGAACGACGCACAGCGGGTGCGCGCGCAGCACGGGTGAGTCGATGGGGAGAGACAAGGCTGTAGCAACGCGACGAGCTCGAGCAATTAAATAAGGATAGATATAGTGCGCGCGTAAACGGTATCATCTCATCGTCTCTCACGTGTGAGCGCGGTAAATTCAAACAAAGATGGAAATTATCATTTCAAATTTGATAAATGAATAAATTCAAAAGGTGTGCGAAACTAAATCTATTGAAACTCTAATATTTTAATAAATTATTACGTGAAATGGGTGACGACCTGCAACAACTCTGGAGCAAACTCACCAATGATTTTCAATTGGATGTACTCCATGAGGGAGAATCCATTACATTATTGATACACGGGGAGAGACTCAGGGTTATTCCAGGAACTGGTTCTGGTTACAGAACAGGTGAGATTAGGAAGGGCATCTAAAAATATAAATTGATGCGAAAAGAGATTCAATCAAATAAATTGAATAAATTGAAAATACTAGTTAAATTGAATAGATTCGAATACAAATCATATTAAGACTCTGGAGAGTTAACCGGTGAAAGAACACTGATGTTCGGGGTTCGGAATATTTTCATATTTTGAAAGTTTCGGTTCGCTCTGTGGTTAGCCATACTGAGGTACAGTTGACTGATCCCAGAGCACTCGATTCTGGCATAATTTATTAATGCAAATGACTTATTTTAATTAGATAAGAGAATGATTGAGGAACAGTGGAGTTCTTTGGAATCATGGTATAAAGGGAGGATCCTCGCAGGACAAGTTACAGTTATGTCACGAATTACCCCAGAGCAGAGCCCAATCATGTCACAGGGAGATCAGAATGGTAAAGAAGATCAGACTGATCTGGGAGGTCAAGAAGATATGCAAAGTCACAAAGGCAGTGAAGATGAAGGGAATGAACACATGGTTGGAGTCTCAATACCTGACAAAGGGAAACCAAAAATCATTAGTGATGTATCAGCTCAGATAAAACTTATTGATCCTAACTCCATCATCGAGAATTCCAATCAAAAGAAGATTAGAGACACCAATAATTCAGGGTCAAATAAAATATGGGAGACAGTTAGTGCACTCACTGACAGCCTAAAAAGGACTTGAACGTCATGTGAATGTAGAGGTTGGGAATTATTTAGTGTAGGCGATTGAGATTTCGAGGAAGCATGATCAGACAATGATGGAGATGGAAAGCAAAAGACAAAAGATAATGAATGAACAACTAGCCCAACTAAAGGAAATCACTGCAAACTTTCTTAAAATCTGTGGAGCTAATATTCCACGGACTGAAGGGGGAAATGGCAACACAGGTGCAAAAAGTAGTGAAATTGCTGGTCGGATAGAGGGGGAGCGTCAAGGGGAAGATTTACAAGTCAATAGTGGAAAGTCTGGTAAAGATTCTATGAAAGAATTAGCAGAAGCAATTAAACTAAGTCTATCGAGTAAAGATTCAGGAATAAGAAGAAACTATGTGTTTGATAGTCAAATGAAATATGAACACTTTTACGATTACTTTCAGTCAGAATTAAGGTCACACAAACTATTGCATGTAATTGATAAAACAATCGAATGCCGTGTTGATGAGAAAACGCTTGAAGATCAAAAATTTAGAGTCAGAGATATTCTTATTAACCATCTAGAGAGGAAGTATCACTCAACAATCATGAAGTATAACGATCCAGTAGATATCTGATCATCATTAAAGGAAATTAAAAGATCTGAAAATAATGTCACCTCATTTGCTGTTAGAAAAGAAATATTTAATATGGAGTTTGTAAAAGGAAGGACAACAGCTGACGAATTTCTTCA